TTCTCTCCTAGTCAACTAGGCACCTTTCTTTGGTCTGTTTACTCTTAGGAAGGACCTGCACCCCAGTTTTGTGTATTGGAAAAAGTGTGGGACTGGAAATCCTGGCTCTTGAACCACATGCATGGCCTCTCTGGTCATGCTGCTCCCCATGTCTTCCACTTCTACAAGAACACTGAGGGAAAACCAGAGATGCATGATAAGCCAGGGTGAGTGGTCAATGCCCTACCAACTGCTGAGTTTGCTCCCAATTGGTACCTACCACCTCCACCACCACCATGCTTACTTCTGTTGCCTGTCTCAACCCTTTGCTGCAGGTGTTCCCTGGACTCTCCCACCCTTGGCCCCAGATGCTGAGATTTCTCAGGAGCTGTTTTCTCACTGCTCTCTGCTGAGCTCCAGGAGTGGCAGGACACACTGGACCAACATTGGACTGAAGCCATGGCTTCTCCACATGCTGTCCCCACTCTATTTGATTCCCTCACCCCACACTCTTCTGCTTCCCAGCTCACTGATAATGCACTCACTTGCTTCCAAAAACATGTGCAGGTAGCTCATCCTCAAGATGCCCAGCACTTTGTCTTCACACCTGGCATCTGGGTTGCCATCCACCCAAGTGAGGATGAGACCCTGGAGCAGTTCTGGATTGCCAAGATTACTGCTGTCTGCAGGACTAATCTTGTTGTCAGGTGGTGGCAGTGCCATAGGGATTATTGGCAGGACCATGGCTCATCTGGATCAGTTGCTCACAACACATGACACTCTCAAAGAAATATATGCCTGACTCTAGCAGTCTTCTCTCTCACCATCTTTTGCAAGTGTACACTTTATTGTCCATCTTTGCTTGATAATCTGTACATCTTTTGCATCAGCTAAGGAAAAAGAGTCACTGACCCTTTTTCATGAACACTTGGTTCCCACTGGGATCAGCACAGGCTGAACCAGATGATGGGTTACACCAATCCAAATCAACATGGACATTATGCATTGCTCTCTGAATCAAGGCTCATGTGTTTGATTACTCACCTGTCTCACCACACAGACTGCTTTGCTGCCATCCTGACAACCAATGTGCTGGAAATGGTGGCTCTTCTCAACCTCCTTGCCAATGAGAATAGCCCCTGGCAGCTTCTGTGTCTCATTTCAGGGAGCATCCCCAACATCCACTCCAAGAGCGCTGGTGGGGTCCATTGTGTATGTGTATGCAATGACTTATTGCTCTTCATTACCCCTTCCACAGCTTACTCCATTTTAGAAATATGCTGACAACTCATCATGTACATGTACACAATACTCATACAGGCCTCTACACCATGTTCATAGGTTGAGTGAACAAGTCCTATACCTTCAATCCAGAGTTGCTGCTGGTCCAGGACATTGCCAAGGTTCCCAAGCCCATGGCCTACAAGAAGCCCTCCCTCATCAAGAGGTGGAACCTGAAGTGGGTCCACATTGCTCCTCAAGTGCATCAACTGAGTATGTATTTTGTTCATCTGACTTGGTGGCACATGCTCTTCTCACCTGCTTTCTCTATCAGCTTGTCCTTACTGCCTATGCCTCCAGCACCGAAGCATGAAGTGTTCTTGACTACACTCCACTTTGTGCTACTCCACTTCATGCCTGCTTCCATCTCAACTTCAGCTACCACATCAATGGAGCTTCTGCACAACTGAACAAATCTGAGACCAACATCATCACAAGTGCTATCAACAGCATAATCATTCACTCCAACCCATCTGACATTGTGTCCTGGATTTCAGCAGCCTGGACTGTGGTGCATCAACTCACCTCATCCAGTACCTCAACTTCTTCTTGACCTTCACCCTGCTCCTCCATCTCAACCTCCACAGGCATCAGCTCCTAGCACCCCTGCACAGGTATTCAACCATGCCCTTTTTTCGTTGTGTACATGTACATGATGAAATATATCACTGACTCTCAAAATCAACAGCAGTCCCAGCCCTCCACAACCCCTCACTCAGAACCATTGCACAAGAGAAAGCAGTGAGATCATGAGGATACTGACACCCACACCCACAGACGCAGCAGTGCCCACAATGACCACCACAAGCACAGCCATGGATCACAACACAAGTGCCACAAGAACAGGAGCAGGAGCAGGAGGGACAGAAGCCCTCACCACAACTCTGACAACAACCAATTACCTGCCCTTGGGTCACTTTCCCCTTTCCAATCTGGTTCTGATGTGGATAGGAGTGAATACTAAACTCTGTCTTTCCCATCTTTCCAACTTTTAAAATAAACTCCTTTGTTCACTTCCCAATTCATCAAAAAAAGCTTCCTCCACTAGGTGTTATCAAGTGTGTGCTCAATGACAAATCGCCACCACGCAAATAAAATAAAGAACACTTGCTACCCCAGTAATCCTCACATTATACCAATCTTTTCTCATTACACCACACCAAACTAATTTGACTGCTGGCCCAGTTACAGTATCATATCTCTCATTATGATGGAATTTTAATCTGCCATTTCTCACGATGCACCCCATTTTGTCTTGTTATTGTTAAAATAAAACCATTTTTGTGTTATCAAAACCATTTTTGTAAGGTTAAACTGACAAACAAAATCACTTTTCAAAATGACTGGACCTCTCATTTCAAATGACCACAAGTTAGTGTGTGAGGTGGTCAGAGAATTGAAAGATCAGGGTGTGTGCACTGAGAGGGAAGGTTCTGGTTGTCAGGAGGACATAGGGGGCAACATGGAAGATGAGGATTCCCTTGTTGAGTGGGGTGCTGAGATGGGAGTGGAGGATGTTGCAGCATAGGAGGTTGGTGTTGAAGCCCTTGCTGATCTTATGGAGCTAGGCAGGGGTGGTACTGGCAGGGAGGCTGGAAATGTGGATGTGGACGCCATTGTAGATCTTGGGGGGTTCTTTGAGGGCTGATGGAGATGGTCCTGCGAGTGAGGATGGAGGATGCCTTGGATGTGTCCACCAGGGTGAGGAGCTTGCTGAGGACATGCTCCCACCCTACAACCTGGGTGGGGTCAAGGGAAAGGGCTTCCACCACTGACTCCATGGTGGCATCAGAGAAGGCTTTGATGGTCTGGGGGCGATGGATGAATACTTGATGGTCTTTGCATGGGGTGGGGGTGCGAAGAGATTTTTGAATTTCATAGCCTGCCCAGCACCAGTGTGCTGTTGGTAGTTTTGTTGTTTTATCTTTCCTCTCTCTCTCTCTCTGGGTAGTGGAGGAGGTCACCTATGTTGGGATAGATCTTGACCAGTGGCACAAGTACACCTGTGGTGTTGGCATCAGTGTTGTTGAGTGCCATGAGGAGCACATGCACCTGCCAGTTGGCAGTAATAAAAGGTGGTGATGATCTGTGGCCTGGTGGAGCTGCATGGTGGAGTAGAGTGGCACTGGCAGCCCACCCAGACATTGGGCTGTGGGACAAAATGATGCGAAAGTGCCAGCATGTCAACTAAAATTTATCTTGCTTCTCTACATCTCTCTAATGTGGGCGTGTGTTACCAGGCTGTCCTTCCTCCTGGGGTCGACGGGCTGGAGCTGTAGCTGGGCCACCATGCGCGGTTCGCTGTTACTGTCGTGATCGGCCTCGTCCTGCTTCTTGTTGCTCTTCTTGCTGC